TGATTATCTTGGTTCTAATTCATGTGTATTTATGCAAGGTAAATTATTAAATATTTATTTTATATAATCATATATATATTACTTTTTTGTAGGTTGTCGTATTGTTCATGAAGTAACAGGTATTGAATCTTGTGCAGAACCTCGAATTACTGTTGTTAATTCTTATATGTCGTCGAATCCATTTGTTGTTGATCATACACGATATGATACATTTCGAAAAGAAAAAACAGATGCATTAGAATTTGCAATGCATAAAATGTGGCGCTCATATTCACAAATACATGATCTTGGATCGGGTAAACCATCTTGAGGGTGTGGGTGTGAGGCATGAATAGACGAAGACACCCACACCATTGCATGTATTGCATAGTAGGAAACAATGTGCACTGATGAATTAGTTGATGAATGTACTAAAAGAATCGAGCACAAAAACATTTTTCTCCGTCCCCTGCTTACATTCTAAACAGTGATTAAAATATATTTTATTTTTAAAATTGTTGTTCATTAGGATAAAAAACATAAGTAAACTAAGGATGTCAAATGTTAAACAACTGCAATTGTTGTTAAAGAATAAGAATTTTGATAGATAATAATGGTATGTTTTTATAAACTCCATGCTCCAGATCCTCCGTTGACTTTGCCTTCAATATTTTTTGTTTTCCATCCTCCATAAAAGTCACCTGGTTGTGCTTCAACCTTCTCTTCATTGACATAGCAATCCCATGGTCCAACATAAAAACTAAAATAATCTTTTACATCGCCATACTTTCCATTAGTTCCACTTGGATTACCATATGACCATATTCGTGAAGTTACAACCGGCTGACCATCAGGTGGATTGAAGTCATAATATGATGCTAAACCTTTATATTCGCAGTACGTTGATTTGGTGTTATGTTTGAGATATTCTTGTTTGACATCGTTCGGAGGAATATAATATGTCGGAGGATGACCTGTTTCCAAGATGCGTAATGCACTGGTGGTATCAGCCAGTACCACATCGTTATAGATAACTCTAAGATGTGCTTGGACTGGTTCAATGGCAGGTGGACGTGGATAATCCCAGACATTTTCTTTAGGAAGATTGCTGACCATACTTGCAATTCTGAAGAAGAAGAAGAAGAAGAAAAAGAAACTGTTTTGAAAGAAATGAGAAATTATGATATTTTCCCGATTAACTTACTTCTGAATAAAATTTAAAATTTTCTTTATTAATATAAAGTATAAATCCACCGATCTTGAATTATATCATATAGCACAATAAAGTTTCTATCTATGAAAAAGATAGTATATCCAGACAACCTATATTAGATAATAAACAGACTACAATATAAAAAATGATACATCTTATTTGTCACTTCTAAAAGAAACTTGGCTAGCAAAAAGTGGCTCCTCAAAGTGCTAAAACACTAAGTGAAATCAAAATAAGACCAAAGATGATTTTCTGCTTACTCTTCTAGTGTTAAAATATTTATTTCCGCAATGGTAATCTCATCTCCAAGTTTTTTGTCAGAAAATTTGATTTGTCGAATGTAGACACAACCAATTTAAGAATCAACAGCCTTTTTTTTATTTTCAGATAAAAGAACTTGTCAAACAGTCTAAGGGACCCGAAGAATCCTCTCGGTGTATGTTACTTGTATAGTGACTTACAAGGGAAAAAAAGTTGTTATGAAATAAACTCATTTTTATAGATGAGAAAAATATAGAAGCAACAGTAACACTAGGGGAAGGCGAGAAAAGACTGGATGCAGATCTATGATATTTTTCAGTAAGTATTGTGTTCCAACACAGAGAATAATTTATCTTTCTTTCTACCGTAGTTTTTACATTTTCATTTCAGTTGAATAATCAAAAATAATTGCTAGGAATATATTTTTTTTATTTGACTCTTCTGTATCAATTAGCGATGGATAAAAAAACGCGGATTATAAATAGAATATCAAATAAACTATTCTGTTCAATGTCGTTCATTCGAAAAAATATCACTCTAGAAAACAGAAACTTAAAAAAAATTATAAAATGGAAAACTCTGACACTCATAGTTACTTTAATTTTCAATAATAGTTTCGAACGTTTTAAAATAGACTTTCAAATTCTATGAAAATATATTCATCTTGCAGAATATCACTGAGTTTGATTTGAAGAGTTCGAAGGAGGGATGTTTCCCTTTCTTGTTATTTCTTCATCTTAATCATTATAGATAATTTCTCCCTCGTTAGTTTTTCTTTTCTCTCAAAGAGATACATGTGTTTCAACGGATTAGCGACAGGATAAAAAAATTTTTTTAAGACATCTTATCTAATCCAAAAGGAAAATAGAAGTGTATGAAAATTTAGTTTAATAAAGAAAAATGCCATGAGAGAAATAGTAAATGAAAAGATGGAAAATAGTGAAATACAAAAAAGCAGGAGTCTAAAAGCTAAAGTTATATAAGACACAATCAAAGCAATAGGTACTCATGGCTTATTCACTTCTTTTTCCCAATTATTTTAAAGTCATGATTTTTACAGTTTTCCATTGAGCGGAATAATCAAAAGTACTTTTTATTTCATTCCACTCCAGCAATTATTGTTTGATAAAAAAAGAAGATGAATAGTGGATTATACAAAGAACGTGTTTTTCTTGAAGGCTGTCTATTTTAAATGTACCATTACACAGTAGAAAAAGCAAGTAAGGAATGACGAAGCACTTTTCATGTTCACAATGATCTTTATAAAAAAAACATTTTTCAACAACAACCACAAGGTCTCGCCCAGGCACTAGAGAATATATATCACGATGCTTTTGGAATAGACGTTCTAAAAACTATTTTTTAATCAATCTATTGAATTTGTACACATTGAAGACGGTTTTCATTGATCATGTACGATCGGAAACACATCGTTGCATTTGAAAAATGGTTATCACTCAAAGAGTTTCACCATGGAACAAACAAAATCTGGGAATAAGTCGATACAATACCAAAAATGCACGGTAAAATCTGGATACCGACAAACTCGATACAACTACCTTGAGATTGTGGGGCAATAACAAACAAATACCGTGATCGTAACATTGTTACAGTTGCGTTTAATCTTTCTGCATTTGTTGTTTTTTATACAATGTAATTAATTTGTTCATGATTTCTTTTTGATACTCGAAAAATGAGATTATCCGTATTGATTATTGTGAACTTTTAGTCAAATAAATTCATAAAAAAATATTGATATTTCTATAGCAAGTTGTTTTATGACAGTTTATTCTTCAACTGTTAATGTGAAATATAATTCCCAAATGATAAAAGATAAATACCACGAAGAATATAAAGTTTGACTGAATGTATATAACAAGAGGCTTATTTTTTGCTACAGTTCAAATCTTCACTAATCGGCATAGAAATAGAGAGATGAGTAAACAAAGAAAAGAACAATAAACAATCTCGTCTTTGCATCACCATAACGTTTTTATTTACATACTCTGCTACCAACACATGGTCACTGACTGTATTAATAAGAACGAAAAAAAGTGGGCGATAATAATAAAAACATATTACTGTTTTATTTTTTGTTCATTTTTCGTTAATGTATTACTTTTGTTGATCACCAATGGTCATCATATTTGCATACTTTCAGATGAAGCCAAACATGAGCGTGCGCACCATGAATCAATGCTTCTATCCAATTTCTTTTTTTTTTCGCTGCACGATTTTATGCTTTATATGCAACATACATACATTTTTTTATTTTTCAATGACAAAAAAAGAGGTTTTTGTCTTTGAAGATGTGTCAAACTATGTAGTTCATGAACAAAAAGGATAAAAAACGAATGCATGTTGTATTCTTTTCATAGAAAATCTTCGCTGAGTACATATCAAACATTTCTAGTCGAAGGATGGTCAGATCGTCATAAGATCTCTTCTAAAAGCTCTCATCCTGGTGCAGACTAACGTTGTCAAAAATGACAAGCAATAATATAAACCTAATTAAAATTTGCAATTTATGTTGTTGGTCAATCCATTTAAGTTATTGGAAAGTGTTCTTCTTTTTGCTTCATATTTGATGGCATTCCGTATTTTATCATCATAAAGAAAACAAAACTGAGATTTTGTTAGACAGCAGTCATATATTCATACATTTGTATACAGATCACGAATTATTATAATGATTCTAATTCATACTATTTGAAAGTTATAAATAATGGAAGAGAGAAAGTGATGTATGATTAAGTCGTTTTTTTGTTTGTTGAAGAGGAAAGCACATTTCTAAAACTTCAAACTCTGCCATCTACATAATGATCACATGCAGGCTTTCAGTGGAAACCTAATTTAAACATCTTTTACATTTCATTTCTACTCATTACTGATCAACAAACAAATTCTCAACTTATATGATTCATCAAATACTTGATCATACAAAAAACATTTTCCCCTTGTAATTATCAAATAACAAACATGACTCGACAATGTTTTTTCGCGGATTTTTTCGATGTTTGTTATTCATAGCAACATCATAAACAGTTAAAGAAAAAACATTTGAAAAGGAAGAAGAGACCGAAAAAACGCACCCATTTTGATCATTACTTCACTAGTAAATTCTATACAATAACTTTAATTCAAACCATTCAGGCAGCAAACAATGGACAAAGGAGAATCAACAACAAATGCATGTACAGTTCCAAAAGGTGCAGAGGATCCTCAACCTATCAGCCTTCAACACATGCAAAATGTTCTTCTAATCTGGTTAGACAGCAATGTTGACAAGAACAATGAAGATTGTCAAAATACAATCACACAATTGCGACGGGCTGTGAACGACATCAACATATATACAGATGTTGATCAATGCCTCGAATTTATCCAAACAATTATCGACAAAAAGGTATGTATGATCATACCTGGTTACTTTGGACAACATATCGTGCCACGTGTGCACAATATGCCTGGAGTTGATTCAATTTTTGTACTCTGCGGTAGCAAAGAACGCCATGAACAATGGGTCAAAAATTGGCCCAAAATAAAGGGTGTTTTCACAGATATTAAACAAATCTGTGAAGCACTCAAATCAACAGCTCAACAATGTGACCAAAATAACATGCCCATGAGTTTTGTGGGATCAAATAAAAATTTAGATCAATTAGATCCTCCTTTTATGTACACTCAGATCCTCAAGGAGATCATATTAACCATTAGCTTCGACCAAAAGCACATCCAAGATTATCTGGATTACTGTCGCAATATTTTTACTGATAATGAAAAAGAAATGATTAATATTAACAGTTTGAAGGATGAATACCACAAGAACACACCAGTTTATTGGTACACCTGTGACATGTTTTTGTATCGCATGCTCAATAGTGCATTACGAATGATGGATGGCGATATTATTACACGAATGGGCTTCTTCATCAGTGATTTACATCGACAGATCGAACAACTATATCAGGAACAATATGCTGGTACAACTGATGCTAACACCTTCACCATCTTTCGTGGTCAAGTTTTATCTTCAGGGGATTTGAAAAAAATGATGGAAAACAAAGGTGGTCTTATTTCTTTTAACAGTTTCTTGTCTACCAGTAAAGATCGCAGTACATCACTGAACTTTGTTCAAAATGCTACAATAAATTCAGATCAAATACGTGTCCTGTTCATTATGGAGATTAATCCTGCTCAATCAACAACACCATTTGCTTCGATCGCTGGTATCAGTGACTTTGAAGGAGAAAAGGAAGTCTTATTCTCTATGCTTAGCGTTTTTCGTATCAAGGATATTAAACACACGGATGAAAATAATCGTTTATATGAGGTTAGTTTGGTGCTGACTGCTGATAACGATCCAGAACTATCTAGACTTACTGATTACATTCGAAAAGAGAGTTTTCCAGATGCTGAAGGATGGTACCGATTGGGTTTAGTACTATGGAAAATGGGTCAACTTGACAGAGCGGAAGATATTTATCAAGTTTTACTTGATCAAACAACGGATGATAAAGAAAGAGCACTTATTTACCATCGACTTGGTTGCATCAAAGGTGATCAAGGAAAATATCAAGAAGCACTTACATTCTATAAAGAATCATTTGATATTAGGCAAAAGATTCTTACTCCCGATCATCTTGATTTGGCTATGTCCTACAACAACATTGGTAACGTGCATATAAACATGAGTAATTATCCGCAAGCACTTTCGTGTCATGAAAAAGCCCTTGAAATTCGACAACAATCACTTCTTCCCAATCATCCTGATTTGGCTATGTCTTACAATAATATTGGTTTAGTACATAACAACATGCGTAATTATCCAAAAGCACTTGCATCTCATGAACAAGCCCTTGGAATTCAACAATCGCTTCCTTCCAATCATCCTGATATCGCTAAGTCCTACATCAGCATGGGCTTAGTGCATTCAAACATGGGTGATTATCCCGAAGCACTTTCTTATTACGAGAAAGCCCTTAAGATTCAACAACAATCACTTCCTTCAAATCATCCTGATTTGGCTAAGTCCTACATCAGTATGGGCCTAGTGCATTCCAACATGAGTAATTATCCGCAAGCACTTTCGTCTCATAAAAAAGCTTTTGAAATTCAACAACAATCACTTCTTCCCAATCATCCTGATTTGGCTATGTCCTACAACAACATTGGTTTAGTACATAACAGCATGCGTAATTACCCGCAAGCACTTGCATCTCATGAAAAAGCTCTTGAAATTCGACAGCAATCAGTTCTTCCCAATCATTTTGATTTGGGTTCTTCCTACAACAACATTGGTGCAGTATATGGAAATATGGGTAATCACTCAAAAGCTCGTACATTTTTTGAACGTGCTGTACAAATTGCACAACAATCATTACGTCCAAATGACCCAAATCTTCATCAGTGGAGAAAGAACCTTAAACATGTAAAAAACAAGTAAGAAACTATATTAATATAAATTTTTTTATGAAAGAGAAAAAATAAACTGTTTAAACAAGAAAATAATTGTTTTAAATTGGCGCGCGTACAGAGAAAATCTAATCATATTTAGGCACAGATGGGTAGTAGTATTCATCGGTAAGGTACACAATGCATATCAAGAGACATGTATTGGATAAAAAGACCTTTACAGTTTATCGTTATTGTGTCTAAACAAGGTGGAATGTCTGTGTTGAGCACGAAAGAGAAAAGCTACCCAACAGGCTGTTCAAAGTATCGAAGAGAGAGAGAGAAAGAAAAAAAATGTATTTATTCAGTACGATAAATGAGGGTGTGAGTGGATGTTCAGTAATTATCGACACCCACACCCTGATTTTCATGATAAATCTTTCTAATCATTATTGAACAATGAAAGAAGCTTAGTCCGCAAACCAGATGGAACAACTCTGACATATCCATATTAGTACTATTGATCATTACGATTATAGAATGCTTGAAAAGTTTTAAAACATGCGGTGAATAGTTTTGAACGAACCAAACTAGTTGTTTTAGAATGTATAACATTGTTTACCAATTAAATTCAATGCAAAAATCTAATCACAAATATACCATCAGTAAACATATAAATGTAGGATTTTTCTAATTACATTTTCTTCATTTCAAAGTGTAAATTATCAACATCACATTCTTTACTTAAATTGCATACTGTGTCTAATATAAATCGATTTGACAATAAAATTTTAAAAGATATTAATTTAATTTATTTATAAAATTATCAATAACAAATATATTATTATTCAGATCAACAGACAAAGGATATTGAAAAGAAATATGATGAAAATGCGATAAATCGCACAAGAAGAAAAAAAAATTCGTTGCGAGCAAAGAGAAAACAGGACTATACACAGAAAAAAGAAGAAGAAGAAGAAGAAGAAGCAAATGTATAAAACGATAGAGAAGAGTTTTTGATATTTGAGAGAGAGAAAAAAATACAATTGATATAGCACACAATTTGATTTATTTTCTATAGATCTGGATTTAAGCGCAGCCGATATGAAACAAACTGAAGATCGTTTATATGATAAGATAGAAAAAGAAAACAGAGAAGAACGAAAAAAGAAAAACAAAATTTTTGGTAAAAAGCATATTAAAAAAACAAAGCGAACAAGGTATATTTAATATATGTTATTAATTTATAATGTTTGATCATTGTGCAGATAATTTAAAAAAAAGAAAGCACCAAATTATAAGAAATGAAAGATCATTCTTTGAAAACATTCACGTTTCGCTGGCATTATATATAGTATTGTTATCATTATCATTGGTTTTTACATCGTTATATACGTCATCATCGTATACGTCTGAAGAAAAAGATAATGAAGTTTATGAAATGTCTGTCATATATATATATTAGGATGTAAGAAAGATTTCAACTAAAAAACAGCTTTATTCATACTACTCAATGGAGATTTATTAGTAATGGTTATATATCTATTCGAAATTTTATAGATTAAGAGCGTTAATTAGCCTATTAAACTTCTTATATAGAAAATTATTTTGATTTTTAATGAAAAACTCATAGCCGACATAAATTAAGTGTTTGATTGTCTATTGAAGTATTACTTGAATTTTTTTCACCATTTTGATTATTTTTTGTATCTGCTAAATAATTCTCATTGAATTGTTGTTGTTGTTGATTATTATCAACGTTTGTTGTAATAGAATCGTTTGAATCAAAATGTTCAACTTCATCTTCATCATCACTATCAGCAATAACAACACTATTATTTTCTTCTTCTTCAGTTTGACTTTCAACACCATCATCAAATACTCCTTCATCATAACGTTCAACATGTAATTGTTCTATTGGTGGTGATTTAACAGCTTCATCTAAATCCGTTATTGATGATTGTGGTGGAAATTGATTTATAACTGAACCAAGTGATTGAGATGAGAGAGATAAATCAGAATATATTTGTGGTTGACCACCATTCACTAAAATAAATATAGGAAAATTATTTCAACAGGAAAAATTAATTTTCATTAATATATATATATACTTGTTGGAGTTACAGTAAATGATGTACTATTTCTTCGTACTAATGTATTTTCGTTATCTGTATTTTTTGTATTTTGACTTAATAATTTCTAAAATAAATGAATATTTTAGAATTTAGAATGCCTTCTTCTTCTTCTTCGACATACTAAAGCTAATGTTAACTGTTCACCAAGTTGTATTAATAATGTTGAAATCGATTGTGCATCAATACTTTTGTTTATTTCACTGTGTGTTTGACTAATTATTTTCATCATTTGATTATCTAAATTGTATATTCAAAAGATCATGATTAATGTTTAAAAACCTTATTTACAATAACTAGATGCATATGTAATTGCTTCCAATGCTGAATTTGGTTTTATTGAATGTAGAGGAGAGATAGATGATTCTTGAGGAATGTTCAGAAGACGTGAGAGAAGCATTTGTTTTTCATGTAATAAACGTTTTAATTCTTTATCAATAGGTATAATTGAATTTAATATCGATTCTGCTGATTCTTTTTCATTGGCTTCAATCAATTGACTAGTTGATTCTTCTTCAATAATTGTTGATCTAGAAAAATAATAAATAAAATGACAAGAACATAATATATTTACCGAATTGTAGACGATGATGGTGATGATGATGAATTTGTATGCTTTTCATCTAAAGAAGTTGTAATTTGTTTTCCTTTTTCAAATGGTCTTCGAGCTTTTTCAATCATTTCTAACCATCTAATTAAATAAAAAGATTATGAATTAAACTACAAATAAACAAAAACACTATTTGAATACTTTTCAAGATCATCTTTTGAATTAGCTTCGACTTCAATTAATTGTTTTTTATCAGTATCAATAACATAAAACGAACGAGTACCTAAAAACACAATGTTTTCTAACTCATTTAATTTATTATGATTGTTTTATATTACCTCCGCATGCTTTTTTCTTTATCAATAAAAATTCAAGTGAAATAATAGGTGATAGAATAAAATTTTGTGCTGCTGTATATTTTGTCGCATTCCCAGATGCACGTAATCTTTGATTTCGTCCACTATTCGCATCACGTTGATGTTCTTTTAAAATATATTTATAGGATTCTTCAATACCACGTTGTTCTGATGGTTGTATGGGTATTTTTTGAAAGAATACGAAGATATCCGTAAACAGACAACATTCAAATTCAGTTTTTTGTGATGTTAAATCTGGTAATAATTTCAATGTACCCGAATAAAGTAAACGATGATTTGTAACTTCAAGACAATCCTAAAGTAATAAACCATAAATAAATAAAATTCCTTTTTTGTTTACTAACTTGAAGATTTTGTAATTTTTGATCATTTGGTATTTGTATATCAAGATTCGATTTAATTTGTTTTAATAATGCTTCTTGTTCTTTTTTTAAACGTGCTTCATTCATACGTTTTAATATATAATCTGAACAATCAATACATTTAGTTAATTTTTCTGATTCAATTGGATCTTCTGAAACGAATTTTTTCATTGCTTCAAATAACATTTTATATTTGGTGAAACGTGTCATTACAGATGGTAAATAATCTTTTAATGTTAAACGACGACATAATGGATTAGCTTCACATGTCTATATAGAAGAAATTTTCTCTTACTAAAACAAAATCCTGCGAGATCTTACCCGCATAAGTGCAGCAAAATCTGGTGATTGTTCTTTCTTTTTGATTAATTTTATAGCTTGAGATTGATCTTCAATAAAATATGCACATGCACGTGCAAATTCTTCACCATTATCTCCATCAAGCTAAAGAAAAAAAGATGATTTCGATAGAAAAATAAGCAAAAAAAACATAATATCATACAAATTTAAGAATTAAATCACCAATATTTCGAACAACATGATCTTTAGCTTCTTCGCGATGTTGAAATAGAGCATATTTAAATTGAGCTATGAAAAATAGAATGAATTTATGAATAAAATCGATGTTTTTTTCTTCTTCTTACTATGTAAATGTATAAGTTGATCAAGATTTCGAAATATACAATCAAGTTCAACTGGACTCATACCGGAAGAACGTAACATTGGTTCACGAAAACATTTTTGCATAATTTTTAAACTTTTTAAATGTGTACGTTGTGTATGAATTAATTCATTGATAGTTGTTTGAAATTTCCATTCTCGTGTTTGATATAGAATTTGTAGAACATCCGAAGGAATAAATTCACTTAAATTTGGTAACGTATTTACATCGGCTTCAAGATCACTATCACCATCGGCTGCTTGTTGAGTTAGTAAATCTGAAGGATTTGTACTAAATAAAACAATTATTCGTATAAATTATTCAATATAATAATTCGAATTACGTTTGATTTGTTAAGTCTTGATGATTAATAATATCACTATCAGCACGATGACTAAGTATTTCATCAATTGTATTTCCACCCATTTGTGGATTACTGAAAAAGAAACAAAAATTTGATTTAAATGTGTAAGACTTTTCGTTATTATAATTAAACGGGAGAGGAGAAAAAAAGCAGAGTATTTTAAAAGCTGGTAATAAGAAAAAAAAGCATCAATTGACTGATCGTTAGCCATAGGAATTAGAATTTCATTCATGCATTTTAAAAGAAATGTGAATGGTGATAATAACGAATTTCATTTGTTTTTCTTTTTTTCTTAGTTAACATCATGCATATTAAAGGTAAGAGATGGGATGAAAAAATTTATCAAACAAAATTTAATACCCCTCATCACTATCGTCGGTTTCACTGAAAGATATTATACCCTACGTTTCGAAAAGAACGACATATGTATATTGATCTATTTACCTGCTAGAACGATTTTTAGGTGCAGTTGGTCGATCAGGTGCTGCTCGACGATCACTAGAACAGCGGCCAACACTAATCAAATAGAAAAATACATCTTATATATAGTCCATAATTATAATTTACGTTGGATATTTATTTTGTTCAACTGCTGATATATTTCCTTCAGGATCTATAAAAAAAATAATTACTTTCTATAATTTTGCAGCAAATGACTTACCAATTCCTTCAGTTGAACCAGGTGTATTTTCATTGGTATCATTCGCTATAAATATTCATATATTTGTATAAACTTTAAATAAATATATATATAAACTTACGAACACTGCCCTCGCGTCCTTCAATTAGACTTCTAGTTCTCGATGGACCTAAATAATAATATAGAAATCTAGTTTAGATGGATGGATGGAGGACAAAATAAATAAACATCGAAAGCAAACAAACGATAGGAATGACATCATATTGATCTCTTATACAACAAACATATGTTTTAGAAAGATACCGTTTAAATCCATCATTATTCCATTAAACAGAGTACTACTCCCACCCATTGTACGTCGCATAAAACCTCGTTGTTGAGGTGTAGATGGATTCGATATGATATAGAAATTTTGCGTTAGATTATCAAATGAATATGATCCTGAGAGGGAATATGATATGATGAATATAACAGAATGTTTTGATTGAAAATCTAAAAATTTGATTGACTTACTTGATGCATTACGATTATTAGAAACTTTTCGAAGTTTAGCTCGATCTTTTGAACATTTCTCACTGTTTAATGCACATTCACGATGATAGGCTTGTTGACAATCTAAATAATCATATTCTATCTTTTATAATGTAAGCAAAAACTAATCTTACATCCACATAGATATCCTTGATAATTAATTCCCCATAACGGTTTATAACAAACTTGACATAATGTTTCACTTGAAAATTGATGTTCATTTAATTGATGATCTTTAATCTAAAAATAACAAAATTCGATTAGTTTTGAAAATAATTTTTTGTGTAATTTCCTTACTTTTTTTATTGGTGTTGTTCGTTGTAATTTTGCTAATAGACGTTTTTGTTCTCTATCGAGAAATTTCGGAATTTTTTCTAATGGAATGTTTCCACATTTTTTAATATCACAACGTTTTAAATATGTTGCTAATGAACATAATAATGCAAGACTTCGTGCATTTTTTATACTATTCCAATCATCAGTTGAAGATGATTTATAATGATATTCAAATATTGGTCGTAAAGTTTCTTCAATAAAATGATTTTGTTTTGATATTAAATCATTATGGGTGGGTGTTCGTTTATGATTAAAATCAGGAATCTCTCGATCGACTATAACAGATTTTGCATAATCTTTTGCTTGATGAAATATAAGTTTAACATCTTCATTAGTATCTTGTTGATGAACATTTAACCATCGATTAATAGCTTCGATTTGTGGTTGGGGAAGGCCAATAAATAAAGGCTAGAAAAGAATATGGATTTTTATTTATAAAATGGCCCGAACTATAGTGAAGTATTAACTACGTAGGCAGGACCGGGAGGAGAATTATGGTGACCCAGCAATAGAGAACATAGGAAATTCGTATGTGATTTATTAGATGAGTTTTAAAGTGAAGCACATAGATATGCGAAATCTTTCGATGATGCTAATAGCCAGGCAGAATAGTCTTCTTTGACTCAATCACTTATCTTTAGTAAATCAAATTACTTTCTTGTGTTCTCTAATTTCTTCTCTATATCTGAGGCTCAACTGTCGGTGTACCGAGAATTACTTCGCGCAACCCTATATAGCGCCTGTTTTCTTATCATGGAAATATTATACTATGATTATGTTTAAGTTTATAACTTACACTGCCATTCATTGTAAATGTCGAATGAATTTCAAATATCCACCGAATTAATTCACTTCGATTTTCTGCTTTTCTTGTACGTAATTCTTCAGTTAATATATAGAATAACTAAATGAATTGAATAAAATAAGAATTATTTTTAATAAATAGAAAATTACCAAATGACTTGGATCACTGTGCGTATCAGTAAGTAAAAAATTAAGAAAAATAGTTAATGGTATCCAATTAGATGTATTGATTAATTGTTGAATATCATCAAATGATGATATTGATTGAACATTTGATGAATTAATATGAACAATATCATCGTCAATTTCATTTGGTTCCTAAAAATAAAAATAAAAATTTATATAAAAAAAAACAAGAATAGATTGATGTTTCAAGTGGGATATACACATTTGTTTGCCATCAATCAATTCTTTGACAAAATCAGAAAGCAATCAAAAATCTAATTAGATTACTATAATTTGTATGGAAAGTACTAGAAATACAACTTTAGATACGCAAAATTAGAGATTCGATAAATTCAAATAGTGAATAGATGTTTTTTTATGGTCCCTCTTGCTATCATAATTTTTTCTTATATAAACATGCGTGTAATATTTGTTGACCTTTATCCATATGCCCTCATTTGTCTATCTCTCACAACTGATAATTATATATGATAGAAAGAAGAAGGACGTGATGGAACAAGTTTAATTAGCAAAAAGAAATTGAGTTAATTAATGAATCATCATGCAGATTAACTGATGTTTTATTGCGAAGCAGACGTTAAAAAGACAAACAACATTAGGAGATTGTCTATCAAAAGAAGATCTTATATTGCAATTAGAGATATGAAAGATAGACTTATTTTTTATCCGAGAGATATATTGAAATTAAATCTTAACTAATCATTATTTCTAAGAAATTCTTCAATTAAAAACATTCCGATAATCAGAGATTTATCTAAGACCAATCTCGACAGGGATATTTTTTCTACTCTATCATAACAAAACATGCTTCAACTAATTAAAATAATTGCTTTTTATATGTCTATAAATAAATTATTGATTAATACTTACACGAGATTTATATGAATCTTCTCCCGAAATATTCATTAATGATTCCGAATTCTAAATAAAATAGTAGAAGAAAATAATAAATACGAATAAAATAAAATAAAAATATTAATTAGCAATAGGAGTATAATATATGTGTGTGTGTCATTGTAGAGAAAAAAAAGAGAAGAGAAGCAATTATTAAGTAAAAATTCATTTATCAGAAAAAGAAAAATGGTTAATGTGCAAAGGTTTTTTGTTTGTGTATGATCAAATAATTGATCTCGTTTTGTTTTTACCTTTACAAGATCGTATGCCTCAGTTTTTCCACTTTGAAATTTACGTTTAATATGATGTAATGGAGAATTAACATTAGTTGATGATGAACCTCCTGTCATTACTTGAAATACTGCTGATTCAGGTAATGAATTCTGTTTCTTGTGACCACTTATGCCATGAGGTAGCTAGAGAAATATATTTGGGGATGAGGCATATAATTGACTTTCAGAGAAACGCTTTGAATTTTCATTTAAGTTATTCACTTACAGTATTTGCTCGATTTGTAGTTGATGGTTCAATAAATGTATTAGAACGATTAATCGAATGTTCATCATTTTTATTTGGTGTTGGATCATTAATTGGCTAATTGAGAATTTATTAGAATAAATATGAAAGATTTTTGTTTTTTTTCTTACCTCAATAAATTCTAAACGACGTTTAATATCATTTAATTGGTGTTCATATTGACGTAATTGACTTTCAAGTTGAGATATTCGTGCTGGATTATGATTAAGACCTTTTGATCGTTGTCGATCAAGTTCTTTTTTTGCCATCTTAAAAAAATATCAAATTGTATAAAGTTTAATGGAGAGAACAAATCCAAATACTTCAAATTGTTTAAAAACTTTATCATAGATATCTCGTGCTTTTTTAGCATCAAGTACATTTGGTGTTGAATGTGAATGAATGGTATTATTTGATCGTTCAGGAGTTGAAGTTTGTGTACGAAATTGTACTCGATCATTTTGTGATTCATTGGAAACGGATTTTTGTGTTTGAAATATTGGATTTGCTTTTGATTGACCAAGAAGAGTTAATTGAGCATAAGAACCAGCTAAATAAAAAAGAAATTTATATTTAGAAGAATCAAGATAGACAAATGGCAAAGATTAATGAATATCTAATGTCTATATGAAGAAACTCTTTTTCTCTTCATCCATCAACATACTAACCATAATAGATGGAAAGATGACAGCGGAACGGAAAAAATTAATGTCTTAAATGTCAAAATGGCAGACAGAGAAAGAAACTTACTCCATAATAGGATGATATGTACATGACTTAAAATATATTTACAAGAAACGTTTTTTATCAAAAATACGATCATATTCTGAACAATGACGCAAGATTTTTTTTACCTGTATTTACACGATGATGATCCTCATATGTTTCTGATTTCGGTCGAGGTCTAATCAATCGATTATTTAATATATTAGAATCATTTATATTAAAATTAGTTATTGTTGAATGAAAAGTTGATAATGAACGATTTCGTGGTTGATTAGGTGGATGTGATAAACGTGAAAAAAATGTATCATGTAATTGTGTTACACGTTCTGTTATATGTGAGATTTGTCGTTCAATAGCATTACGTCCTGTACTTCGAAATGAATATGGACGAGGTTTTATAGCAATGGATGGTATTGATGGTCGATCATGTGATGTAAATGAAGTTGATGTTTGAATACTACGATTTGGTAATGTTAGTTGTGAACTAGCTGGTGGTGGTGGTGGCGTTGCTGGTGGTGGTGGTGGCGTTGCTGGTGGTGATGATGATGATGATGTCGGAGTCAGCGTTGTCATATGTGTCGATGTTAATGTTTTTATTTGTGCTTGCTTTGATATATGAGTTACGATAGGAGTTAATGGTTGTTCTAATGTATAACTTTTAGCGGTATATGGTTGAGGAATGTTCACATTTGTTGATAGTAGTGGCAAAGCTGATAATCCTGGTATTGATGCTCGACGAGTTGATGCACATCGTACAATTGAATAAATAACAGCAATATCAGATTCATCATCATCATCACCATCATTATCATCATCAGGATGATTCCATTTTGTTCTTGGAATAAAATTACCTTCGTCAGTAGAATCTTCAAGAGCAATTTCCTTTGGTAATGTTGTTAATTGTCGTTGTAATACCAATTGAGGAACATATGATTTTGCATTACAAATAATTTCATTATTTGTTAATGGAGTCGGATAAATATCGACTGTTCGATCAACACGAACAGTACCTAATTTACAATCTGGTATACGTACCGATATAGAGGAAGACATTTCTTTTTTTAATTATCTCTAACAAAAAAATCTAAAATATTATGAAACAAATGATTGATGTTATTTTTCAATCAATAGCTTCGTTATGAAATGAATCGAACGGAAGAACATTGTTCAGTATTATGGCATTATTCTGCTCGAAGACAATCCTGATGTTGACACAATCTAGTAGGATGTTTTTTTCAGAAATGATAAATTGTTAATCCTTAATACACAAAAACATTGCCGAAGCATATGGCCCTTGTGTGTAACAAAAGAAATTGTCCGTAATGACGATGCCAAACGAGAAAGAAAGAAACATACCATCAACCATCTCTCCTTCCATTCGATATATACAACCAGAGTAATAGGAGAATTTCTCGGATTGTATTATACGCGTTTGTATGTATATGTATGTATGTATGTATATATATTTATAGATTCATACAGAAACAAAAAATGGATTTAAGTATTTTCTTTTTGCAAACAAGATTAGGAATAGAAATAATTACGAAGTTTCAAAAACAAAAAGTTAATGAAATTTAATATTAATATACAAATTTCTTTATATAATAAATTCGATAAATTAGTTATATGAAAGAGAATAGAATCGATAAATTAAGTATATATACGATAGAACTGATAAGATATATGTAATTAATTAATGAGTATAATAAAAATCTTTTTTTTGTCGCGTCGTCAACATATGATTTATCAAGGTCAAAGAGAAAAATAAACAATCCATATGGAAATAGATAATGTGATGTTTATCAACATATTGCAAAATCATTTAAGACAAATATTGATCGACCACCAACTGATCAAACGTAGTTTTTTGTTTATTTGAACATTAACATATTAGAATACTCGTATTCAGACAGAAAATTGATCTCCTCTCGACTTCTCATCTTTTCTTCTTAATTATAGAATAAAAAAACAAACTTACATTTGATTAGATTGACTACATCAATATGTGTACAATGCGTTACACGCGTGCCATTGACCTGAAAAAAAAATAATTGAAAAAAATAGATTTTTTTCTACATCGAAAGTAATTAAAAAGAAATGTCTCATATATCAATTTAATCTTTCAATTATTAAGTTTTTTATTTATTAATGAACCTTTTTATATGATTTTAATAATCAATATAAACACTCAAAATAATTTTTATACTGAAGGAAGCTGATGAAATTTTTACATGTTTTCTTCATTAGTAGAATAATAAAATAAAATGCTTCATGCATAACAAAAAACAGATAGCATATGTCTAATTAATTCAGCAAGAAAAAAGAAACCCAGGTGTATTTATCGGCTACTTGTATTCAACCAGAACGATTTGCGCAATGGAAAAAATAACTAATTTTTATGGGAAAATGTATTCGTCTATTTACTTTCCAAGGTCATTAATCAGTTATTTGTTTGTTCTAGAAAAAGCAACTTAATCCAATCTTACCAAATGAGAAAATACATAGGAAGAACAACATACTTCTCTCTATTTACGACTAAAATTTATTATTCAATATGATTTACTGCACTAAAACTCTAGTATGTTGACATTGATAATATTAATTAAAATGTCAGATAAATTAAAGGTGTATAAACAACAAAAATATCGTTTAATAATTACAACTGAAATTATTTATTCTCATGTAAAAAAAATAAGATATTATGGCAAAATAATTCAATGAATAATCATTCTATCATATATATATACCTATTGAAATAATTTCTATGACAAATATATCAATTCTCAAATGTAAAATGATATTTGTAAATATAAAATCAACTTGAATATAAAAATTTTTTTCTAAACGTATCTATCTGATAATAACTATAGAATATTTTACCTTTATGATCTGATCATTAACATTGATTCCAGCTCGGTGTGCAGCACCACCTTCTCGTACACTTAATACATAAACAGGATTATCACCAGATACTGTTAGACCATATCCATAACGATCTCTTTGAATAATAACATTCTTTTGTTCAAATCCTAAAATCAAATCAAAGAAGATTACAAATAAATGAAAACAATAATAATAATCTAACACGAACCATTGGGTAAATCAGGATCAGTAAAATACGAAAATATACTATACATAAACAACATCAATAGAAAAAAATAATTACAAATGAAACAATCAAAAAATGTTTCTTCTTTACCGATCTTGTTCCATTTTTATTATTAGTCATAACTAAAATAAAATGTCTTCATCTAAAATAACAAAATATTTCTTTTATTTTTTTGCATCGCAATAAAGTAGATATTCAACTCAATTAATACTTCTTTAAAGAAAAAAAATATCAAATAAATAAACATAGAAAAATATGTTTGCTATATCAAATGATGATGATGATGATGAAAAGACGAAGAACTGACAAGGCATCATCAGTCAGTCAGTCACTCATTTTTTATCATTCCCATTGGATATTAACAACCATTTAACACTTTTTATGACATTTAATAATCATTTGTAAATATATTCCACACTTTTTTTCTAGAGAATAAAAAGAAGAAATTTATTATTAGAAAGAAATTTCTTTATTTAAATATGTCGCTGTTGTTATATTGATGATTTTAGCGTCATCTAGATAGCTAGTTTTTTCTTATGAAGGTTTATCGTAGTCGACTTTCTCAATTATGGTTGATACATATATCATTATGATATTATATTTAAGTCTAAAAAATAATATCAGTTCATTTTATATTCTTTTCAAACAGAAACAATCATCGATGATTCATATTTTGTTTTTAAAATAAATTTCAAGTCTTTGACGATGTAAGAAAAAATGATTAACAGACAAGCGTTGGAGGAGATTTGGAATTAAACTGAATAAATTTGTTTTATGAAACATTCATAGATTTGATGAGGGGGAAAAAGAACTTTGCAAAATATTTGGGGGTATTTTATATTGCCTTTTTCTTCGAGTTTTACTATCATTTTCTGGCTCTTATCTGTATTGTATATTTCAGAATATTTATCGATGTAGCATTTTCTTTGAGTCAGTGCAAATCAATTTTTTTTTGAATAATAAATGTATTCTAAATCCGTCCACTTTTCTCGGTCAGTTGAAAATATTGACATGCAAATAGATTTCCATATAAAAACTTTTCCCCATAGATAAAGCCTGATAATATGCTAAATCTTAATCGAGAATATAACTTCCTCTTCTTATTATTTCTCTATTTTTCATATAGATAGAAATTTGCAAAAGCAATTTTTGTTTTTTGATGAATATTTCTCTCATTGTACTATTTATCAAGATAAATATCTTCTAGATATATTATCCTTTCTTGAAAGTATTTTTTTTTACTTATCAAATAATAATACAATTTTATTCATCACTTAACATATAAAGAATAAAGTTTTACAATCTAAAAGTAATAATACTGCGTCATTGCAATAGTATGTGTCAAGTATGAACTTTAAAAAACAACATCTTTTTACACAGTTTAATTTTAAAATGCGATTAAAGATTTTATTCGAGTCGACTGAGTATCAATTATTCTATATAAACAAGAATAGACGTTCATCAAAATTCGTGACTCGAATGATCGAACACATTATCGCAAAGTTAATACTTTTTTTAAATGTCAAGTAGTTGACATTAGCAGTTTCTTTTCTTGTAAACATTATGAAAAGATTTGACGATGCTTAAATATCTTCTTTGCGGAAATTACTTTGAATTTGTTTTTATCATGGATGTTAGTTTTCTACACTTGTTGAGTATTTTAATTAATCCTGAGTTAAAAATAAAATATAAAGTAATATAGACTATCGAAAATTATTAAAAATAAGCTTGTTTTCTTATTTTTTAAACGTGTAACCACTTAAATATCCCATATTCTACGAAAAATTATAATAGGAACTCAGTTGTTTTTGTCTTGACCACAAACTATTTTAAAGTATGACAAGTCTCAAGTATATTTTTTTTAGACGTACATGTTAGAGTATCAGCCGTCTAAGTTCTATTTTTTAGTTATTAATCTGCGACATTTTGATAATTTATATTGGTGAAGTTATTAATATATATCTGATAACTTTAAAAATCTATATCAGATAAATACTCTATTTAAATTATTAAATAATCAGCATATACTGAACTACTGACTTTAGAAAACTGAGATTTCAATTATTACTTAACTAATCAGAGTAAGAAGACAATTATTTTCTTCAGGAAATATCTATTAACAAAAATCGCTTCGTCTCGTCTATTCATCTTTTACCCTGCTTCTTTTTCTTTGTATGTCACTCAGAGATAATACTTAAATCACCTAAAAAAAGCATCGTTATAAATAAAAAATATCTGAACTTAATGTTAGCTTCAGTTAAGCACATATTCAAGTACTAAACAACTCATTCCTAACGACTACTGCCTTGTTATGCTATAAAAGTCTATAGTATATACTTCATTACTAATCAGACATACTTTATTTTAAAAACATAAAAACCATGCGCGTCATGTCGCAAATCTACACTTATTAGATACTCTATACTCAAATGTTTCGGAGAAACAAGAACTACTTCGCAGTTATATAACAATTGTCTAAAAATACTTTTTCTTTCTTTGCATTAGATAGCATAAGTGAAAAAAACAAATTATATTCTTTTTATAGTTCTATCTATTGAATATTCAACGAATCTATGATTATCTATTCACAATGTTATGCTTAAACACTAGATCTTATCTATAAAGGTACTTGCTTTCATCTATTGTTCAGCACTTAAACGCATATTTGATTTCTCTTACTATGAAAACAATACATCGGATATATTTAGAATATACTCTTCATTGAAATACATTAAAATTGCTATAATTAGACACTTTGAATATCATAATTTTTTAATAATTAATCGATCTTTTACATATTCAAGATTGAAATAGAAATGAATTCGAAATTAAACAATGTTAATAATTATTTCTAAGTTTACTAACATATTTTTGGAGAAAAATTTTGTATTCATAAACTTAGTAATGTAAATAATCTTATATTACCATATATATATATATATTCTTGTTTTAATTGATATTTCGAATTTTGTTGATAAGTGTTAACAGTTTGTTTTTCTACCAATATGAAGGTGAAATAAGAACGTTTGATCAAATAGAAACATCACGCCATAGAACTTCTTTTATGAATCATTATAACCAGATTTTTCGCTATATTTATATAAATAAGCAATTCTTCTCTGTCATCCAATGCTTTGTTTATATCATTGATGACATATGTTCGTTTATTGATAATAAATGATTTTTTACAGTTATGTCTCTATTCATTGTTGAACTAGTTTTATAAGTATAAAAGCTTATTTCAGTCTATCAAAAATTATCACAGCTGTGCTAATCTATGCATAATTTCATAGTATTAAATCAAAATGAAAAGATCGCTTACATTATGCTGTCAAAACAAAATAAATCAAATTTTCTTTTATTATAATTTATAAATTAAAAATAAAATAAAATAAAAAGAATGAATGTACACTGTAGCTTTATCGTGTTGTTTGTTCACCTTGTTATTTTGCTAATAACTTTCTATGTATATAATTTAACTCGCGTAATTTAGGTGATTTGGGATAGCTACGTATTGAACCATTTAATGATGCTGTCGTTTCTCCAATAGAATAATCCAGTGAACATGTATCATTATCATTATTAAATGATTTAAGTTTCATTAAATTTGCATTAAATCTTTTTGATGGTAAGAAAACTCTTTTCAATGCACGACGAAAATTCGCTCCAAAAAAAATATAAATAAAAATATTAATTGAATAACTTAAATATGACATATAATGTAATATAACATCTCTATAAAGAGCAAAATTCGTATATGTTTCTTTTGATATCAAATCATCTTTTGTTTGTTCATAAAATACTATTAAACGTAAATAATATGATGGGAAATTTAATGATAAACATGTGAATGATATCGCTAAAAGCATTTTTGTTAAACGTAATTCTGTTAAAATATGTCGTCGAGTTGAATCATTATTACTACGATTTGGTTTTTTACGTACAACCGGTGATGTTTTTTCACTTGAAACACGATTTTTTTCTTGTCGTTTTAATGAACATGTATGATATTGCGTCCAATTTGATGTACGTCGAAATTGATAACTTGATCCATTATCAAAAACATGTTTTCGAAATGTATTTGTACAGAATAATTTTCGAATTATCAATATATTCAATATTGATACAAGGATAAATGGTAAAAACATTGTCATTATTGTATCAATTATATTAATGTGATTTAAATAACGTACATGACTTTCCTTCTCCCGACATTGTCCATATTTATCAACTTCGGATGCAAAAAATGATGGATATATATAAAATAAAAATGCTGGTGTAACAATTATTAGAATAATTGTACGAGATAATTTTGGTGTACATTGTGACATATGTCTTAAAGGAAAATTTACAGCAAAAAAACGTTCGGCTGTAAATGCAAGCACCATCCATATGTGTAAAAATGACGCAACAAATGATATATATGTTTGAATTTTACATATAAGATTTGCACCATGATATAATGTTCGAACAAAACCAGTATTAATCCAACCCGGTAAAAGATCTAATAAAAAGAAAACATCACCAACTGCTAATAAAAATAAAAATGATGATGAACGAATTCTTCTACAAAAAAAAACAAAAGGAAATAGAGAATTATTTAATTAAATTGTTTATTACCTTAATGATTTTGTATTAAATACAATTGCGCATATGACATTTCCACATATACCAAGAAAAACTAAAGAAGGTACATAGAATAATTGTAAATAGTGTATAAATGCATGATTATGTGATGTTGATGATCGATTAGTAAGTGAATATGTCGTTTCATTCATTGTTCATATAAATGATTAAAATTTGTTTAACGATGACAATATATAGTTATAGTTCTAAAATGAAAAACCTCTTTTTGACAACAAAATTAATATCATTAATTCTTCTCTTCTTTCTCGTTTTTTTCTCTTCTGCTTCTTCTTCTTCTTCTTCTCGTTAGAAGATATTTGCTTTTCCCTACAGCACTTGTCATTGTCATTTTCGCCTCTTTCTTTCTCTTATCCGAGACAAATCTCTTTACGTCATATATTAAAAACAAAACTAGTTAGAAAAGTATAATCAATCTGAGAGAAAGAAAGAAACTAACCATTCTGATAATCAACTTATTATCTCATTCTTTGAATAAAAAAAAACTTTTTTGAGTACAATACAATAGCTATTCAACAATATTAAATTATTTCTCAAACACTGACTTAGTTAATTTGTCCTACGTAATTATTTGTTCATACTCTATAAATTGGATCTAAAAGTCTTCTATCTTTGTTATCATTATTTCTTATTAAAAAAAGGAAAACAAGAATACAGATCTGAGTACCTTCCTTTCTTTTTCCTCAATTAATATTCTATGAATGAATATAGAGACAATGCCAATATATCTTCCTACGCAATATAATCAACAATAAAAGTCAAATAAACAGGAAAATATATTATGAATATGAAGAGTTCGGTATTGAATGCTAAAGGCAACCACACAATTTAATAAAATAAGATTGATATCATTATTTTCATGAACTACGTCAATATTATATTTTCAGAGTAAAGTATGTTGCTGACAGACTTATCATTGTCTTTCTACGTGAGATGAACTGAGAAAGCAAATAAACATCATCTATCCTTATTATGATAAAACTAATTAGATAAAACAAAATATCAAAAAAACGTTTTTAGAACATACTTTAATATTTCTATTTTTCATCATGCTTTAATACTTCCTTAATATTATTCAGTGATAAAAAAAACTAAAAATCTCATTGGTTTTTTTCTTGTGTTTCTTAGTAAAAAATATTAAAATATTGATGAGAGAGACCAAAAGAATACTCTTTTCTTTTTTTATATTTTACTTCAATTTAACTGAAGGGGAATAAAATATTTATCAAATTAGAAAGTATCAAGTAAAAATTTTCTTTAATAAAAATATACCATATCTCCGGAGAATATTTTTTCCTAATAATAAATTTTTTTTTCTAGGAAAAAAAGTTGCTAATGTCATTAAAGACGTTCTCTATTTGTGCTACACTTTTTTTTCATGAACGTGCACTTTCTATTTACTGATCAATGACGTCATTCGTCTCTACTAATATAGATATATTTGATGTACCATACTATAATTCAATATTCACACTGTAAATTACATGTTCCTGTCGTTGTTATAATTGTAAAAAATAGAATTTTCCGTAATATAATCTTTCTACGATAATATAAAATCTAAATTTATTAATGTCATAATTTCACATGATTTTGTCATAAATATAAGTGTGAGCTTTTAAATCTATAAAATGTCAAAGTCAAATTAGTTAGAAACAAACTTGTGCAGTACTTTCAGTTCTATTCATTTCTTAATCTTTAACAATAAAAATAATTATATTTAAATTTTTATAATTTGAATATCAACAATATGTTATTAATCATTCATTTTTTATTTCTGTTTGACATGCTCTATATGTAACTCAATAAAATTAACAGTAATATAAAATTCTTCGTTCTTATTTCATAAAATCTAACTTACATAAAAAGTTTGAACAGAAGAAAACATGTCAACAATTGTTCCGCAAGTTTGTGTACCTGTACTTGTATGATTGAACTGTAAATAATGTTTGTTAAATAGTAAAACAAAACAAATAAACTATTGATTCAAAGAAATGTACTTCAATACAATCAGTAAAAGTTACACGCATTTAAATAAACATACAACGGAATGTCAATTGTTGTTATTGAACGTTTGATATTCTAATACACAAATGATACAATAAAATAAAATTCTAATTGTATCACCAATAGTTGAATTAATTCACGTTCGTTACTATTAATGCGAAAAGTACGATCTTCTTCTAAGAGAGAAAAAGACAACCTGTAAATGAACAGTAATAATAAAAATGCTCTATATATAATATTTCCCCTTTGCTACTTTTTGATGGTAATTCATTGATCGAATTACATGACACTGTTTTCTTGCTAACTAAACTATGGATAGGAAGAAACGAGATATTATATTTCATTCTCAATAGAATGGTCTACGTTCTTATCATAATATACAATGAAAAATATAGTAACCTAGGATTTTGGTTTTTAAATAAATTTTTATCGATTTGTCATTATTTTGTACTCGATATAAAAGGTTAAACAAACATAATAATCATAGATGATTTGACATTCTCATATGAATCCATATATAAAGTAGGTACAGGAATCATCTTATCTTTAAGTATGCTTGACTGCACTATTCAAGGATGATGACAACCATAAATAAAGTGATAATATAACACAACAAACCTCGACGGATGAACTACTCCAACTGTGTTTGTCTATTGAAAAATAAAAGGACAAGAATAAGAATAATATGAAGGAAATGCTCGAGACATATGCAGGAAAACTACCTCGCTAACTAAAACATTCTATTTAGAAAGTTTATTCTATACATGAAAAATACATATATAGATACTATTCTTGTGTCAGATATACAATCATTCATAATAAAATATGCGGCAGAAAATAAGACTAACATTTTATAATCTATTTATCAACTTTTATTAAAAAAAGAATTCAATAATTGATAGTAAGTTTACAGTTCATTGTAAAATACAGTTTTAATATCATAATAAAAAAATTATTCGAAAAACAATACTTTGAAATTGAGAATGATTGAAATTATTTTTATATGATCGTTACAAGACAATTGTTGTTACTGAATAAATTTTATGTGTAAAGATATTTTCATTGAATTTAATTCTAGACAATAGATCAACGTGACCAATATTGTTTAATCACGGTCATGGTCATAATTGACGCGACCTTGACCATGAGTAAAGCATATTCTATTAATTATGTTAATATGGTCTATTGCAAAGCGATTATCAATAATGATAGTATGCCAAACTATATTGATATTTATCTCTAAAGTTCTTTGTTTTACTTAATAATATAAAATTATCAAAACTTTTAATTTATTAAATTCATTGATCATCTTAGATTGGTAGTAGATCAAACTTTATAATTATTTGAGTGTTTCTTGTATTTTACTCAAATAATATATATCCAGTTTAATTACAACAAGAATAGGCAAAAAGAATACAAATTGGATGTTATTAAGAACTATACGTAGCAACATAAGTACCACTAAGGACGAACGACCATAATATAGAGGAAGAGAATAAATAAAAAACCGACAAAATATAGAATTACATATCCATGATATTTTTATGTAAATTATCTGATCATTAAAAAAAGACTATAATTATATTGATATTTTTTAAATTTTTGTTATGACACCTACTATAATTCACAACGGTCATATTGACCTATACTATAGACACTCTAGTTTAGTTATCTGTACTATAGATTTTGACACGAACAAACTAAGTGATAAATCATCAATCAATAATCCTCTTGTCCAGATGTGTCTTGTTTATAATATTCTTCAAAATTATATATCAGAATGAATCGTATTAAAAATTTCGAAATAACAATATTTTGAACATATTATTGCGCGTTAATAAATATATATATTTTATTTTTCTTTAATATATTTTCCATTCAGATATGTGTGTTTGTTTTATTGTTTAAAAAAAAACGAAAGGGATCAACTTAATATACAAAAACGCACACTCATTTAAACTCATGACCAAATAAGCAACAGCAGAACAGAATATTCAAATAATAGTAATAAGAATGAAATATACATTAATTGAATAGGAAAAAAAAGAAAGGTTAAGTAATAATGATATAATAAGTAGAAAAAAAAAGAAAAAAAAAACCCCAAAAAAAAATGTAATGTCTTTATTATATAATTTTTTTTGTTCTTAGAAACACTTGCACACGACTAGTTTAACAAGATGTTAGTTTTTTTTTTATTTTACGACTAGTTATTTCACACATTGAGATAATAATAATAATAATAGAAATAGAAATTTTAAATCATAATACAACCACCTTTACGTTTTTTCTTTCGTGCTAATGCAGCTCGTGCAGCATGTTCAAATACTTCACGTACACCTTCTTTTGTTTTAGCTGAACATTCAAGATAACCAACTGCACCGATTTTTTCTGCCATATTACGTCCTTCTTCACTACGTACAGGTTCTTGTTTCATTTTCATTAATTCTTTTTTAGTTGCTTCATCATTACGTAAATCTTTTTTATTTCCAACAAGTACAATAGGAACATTGGGACAAAAATGTTTTACTTCTGGTGTCCATTTCTAAAAACAAACAAAAAATAGATCAAACATTTTTTTGTTTTAATAAATTACTTCAGGTATATTCTCAAGACTGTCCGGACTATCAATTGCAAAGCACATAAGAATAACATCTGTATCCGGATAAGATAATGGACGTAAACGATCATAATCTTCTTGTCCAGCTGTATCCCATAAGGCTAATTCAACTTGTTTACCATCAACTTCAATGTCAGATACATAATTTTCAAAGACAGTTGGAACATATACTTCAGGAAATTGATCTTTACTAAATACAATTAATAAGCATGTTTTACCTAATAAGAGAAAAAAAAAATAATTATTTTTTGAGAATGATCTATTTATTTTAATCACTAACCACAAGCACCATCACCAACAATAACAAGTTTTTTACGTAAAGCAGCCATTGCTTTTAGATCTAAAATATGGAGACTTTTGATTGATTATGCGCAGAAGAAGAAAACAAAAACAATAGAGATAAGACAAAAACTGTACAGATACCATCAAGGAAAATAATTTGACTCTTTAGAAGATGTTCTATTAGTTTATTTTAAAATTTCGTTTCATAGAAACATATAAATAGAAATTTTTCTTTACTTTTGAATTTTTTTTTATAAAAATTTTCTAAATAAAATCACAAAAATCATAATAGATGTCGCTAATTATTGAATGGCTATTTATATATATATAATGAAATTGACGTCATAATACACAACATAGAACTGTCTGACTCCTGCCTTTGAGAAAGCGCTAGATTGTTATTTATTTCAAATACATAGGGAAAATAATTGACATATACGATACTGTGTGAGGATAATTGTAATATATCCAAAGTACAGTAACACCACACTTGTTTAGGTTTCATTCACGCACAAATGAAGAAAATTTCAAATATGTATTGCTTTGATTGAATTTCAACAAAATTAAAAATACTTACTATCAATTGAATATTTTTTTAGAATCTCTATAATATAGAATTTATGATCGGTAACTTTGACAAAATGATTAACTTAAACAAAGAATAAAATTATATACTGATGATGATATAGAAAATGCACTTATAAAATATTTTTGTGTTCTTTAATTTGTGAACAAGATATAATGTATAATTCATGAGATGATCTTGTCCGCGTTTTTGTTTTGATAGTACTATCAATCAACTGAACTTCCGATGCATATTAATGTGAACAACAAGATGATAATATGAAATATGTCATTATATACGTCATATGAAGATCTAAATGTCAGACAATAAATAGTGTGCTCGTAGTTAACTGTAAAGGAAAAATAAATATATTGACATGCCATGAAAATAGTAAATCAAAGGGGGATGTCAAGAGATCAGATTCAATTCTTTCGATATTACTTCTATCAATCATTATTATTATTTTCCAATACAAAAAAAACATCGTCACCACAGTACCTTTCTTATTTCATTACTAGAATATATATTTTTTTCTTATATACACATATCGTTAGTCTATAGTATTAAGCCAAATCTTTCGTCTTCCATCTGCCCATCTTTTTTTTCTCTTAGCATATATTAATGTATCTATGTAATCTCTTTGTTATAATAGAGATAACATTGAAAGAAAAAAAATCGAGGAAGATACTATTGATAATGATAGGGCCGAGTATTAAGAACAGAAGATTTTTTTCTTTGGGTGTTAATGAGATTGATTGACACATTAGATGTATACAAAAGAATGGGCATGTTCATTATTCATCGCATCTGTTCGGGTAATAATACTGACTATTTAGCAGTATATTAGAGATATGTGAGAAAAGAATTATAGCAATTCTGCTATGATATTTAATAAACTATATACATTCATTTATAATCTTTACAGCATATCTGTCATATTAATCAACTAAGCTTTTATTTCTTATTGCCTTCTGGTCCTATCTATATGTGCTATTCAAAGTTATTAACTATCCATTTATCTATATAAGCTTCAATAGAATCTAGTTTTCTGGTCAACTTCATCTACTATTGTAAATAAATACCATACTGATGTATAAAATAACCATTTTTATTTCTTTTTCTTTCTTTTTTATTTTAAGACAAAATGTTTCTATTCTATTTATCAATTATTCATTTAAGTTTAAGTCAAGATTCTCATTTTCCATATATGTATTCTGATTGCACACATTTAATATTACCACCTCGTTGTCAATGTTATCATTCAGGTAATGAGTCTCAATTGCATTGTTATAATATACAATTAGATTTTATACCAAAATTACCAAATAATATGCGTTGGCATACATTAGATTTTTCATTAAATCATATTAAAACAATACCTAGTTATGTATTTTCTGATATATACGTGGAAAAAATTGATTTACATACGAATCATTTACAAACAATTGATGAAACAGCATTTGGTGAAATTCAAAATTTAAAACAATTATTTATGAATCATAATCAATTAAAAGAATTTAATCCGAATATATTAACTTCTCCAGGTGTTACTTTAGGTAAGATATT